AAGTATAATTTCCTTTATAAAGCTTCAGAAATAGAAAAACTATTTAAGGATGTTCAAGGATGTATACACAGAAAAAGATCAACACAAAAATCAGAATAATTGTTCCCTCTCGCATAAAAAAGAGTAGGGCTTATGACTGGAGAGAAGCACATGAGGAGCTTCTGGGTGCTAGAAATTAGTTTTTGCTTTAAAATATGTATTAGACTTTATACATAAGCTTTCTGCACTTTTCTATATGTATGCTTCATTTCACAATTTTAAAAATTTAAAAAGAAACCAAAGAAGGAGAGTTTCAAAAAGGGGGTGGTTACCAGTTTACATGCTATGAAAGAATCAGACAAGATTAAGACTAAAAATTAGCCACTACAGTTGAAAATTAATGTTTATCTGTAACCTTCTTGAAAGCATTTTCAGTGTATGAAGAAAGAAATAAAAATTGAGGACATTTAGACAGTGAATAGTTCCCAGAGTTACAAATGAAGGCTTTACAGAGAGTTGGTACTTGACCTACACCTTCAGGATTGCAAATGTTCCTAACAACTACTGATTAAGGTAACCATTCCTAGACAGACAACGATAAGGGGCACCATGGAACTGGCTAGCAAGTAAAGGGGGCCTGGTTAGTTGGGTAAATATTGCTTTGTTTGTAGAATGTGGACCTGATGGGCAATTGCCAAAAGTAACATCCAAAGAGGTTGTCAAGTCAAGGCTAATCTGAAACCATATTGAAACACTATCAGATAAGAAGTGGATGCCAAAACACACACAACTGAACTGATGTCTTGAAGGTATTCAATGCAAGGAAGACCAGGTTGAAGGAATATCCTGAGACAGAATCTTGCAGGGCTGGTTAAAAAGTCAAGACACATTTGGGTAAATAACTATGAATGTAACTGCTGGGCCATATGGTAAGCTTATGCTTACCTTTGTTAGAAACTGCAGACTATCTTCTAAAGGCTGTAACATTTTTCATTCCAACCAGTAATGAGAGTTCCTGTTGTACCACATCCTTGTCAGCATTTGGTGTTGTCAGTGTTTTGGATTTTAGTCATTTTAATAGGTGTGCATTGTTTTAATTTGCAATTCCCTAATGATATATAATGTTGAACATTCTTTCATGTTTATTTACCATTTGTATATCTTTGGTGAGATATCTGTTCTGATATTTTCCTATTTTGTAATTGGATTGTTTGTTTTCTTATTGTTGGATTTTAAGAGCTCTTTGCATATTTTACATAACAGTCCTTTACCAGATATGTCTNATCACTGCTAATTATGGATTATATACACAAGTACAATATTATTACAGTCATAGATTTAATAAAAAACAAGGAAAAAGATTCTTACCAAAGGAAGGTGACTCCCTTCCATCCTCTAATCCTGAATCTTTCTCTCTGTCTCTCTTTCTGTGTTTATGACCACGGTGCCTGTGACGTCGATGGCTTTTTCTTCCTCCCAGGGGAACGTGAACTCCAATAAATAGGGTCCGATGACCTTCATCACAATGGAAAGCACAAATTAAACTCTAAATTACTCGAGAGCACAGAAGATGATGATTTACACGTTAATGGAAACTCAATCTAATTCAATCCAGCACACAGTTTTTGAGAGTTTATAGTGTGTGTAAATCTTGGGGTTTGGCACAGTATTTTGGTACTACACTTATGTAAGTATATGACAGGTCTGCCACATACATTTACAATACTAATTATTTAGTTATATATTTTATAATTACCATTAGCTTATTAACTGTCTCAATAATTTCTCTGTGTTTATTCCCTATAGTTTATAATTATACTCTTCTCATAAAAAATATCATTCTACTTTCTACCTATCCTCAACTAACCAGTTATTTCATCAGTTCCCTTCCCTTCACAGTTAAGTGTGTGAAATAATTACTGTATCTAATAAACAAGATTTCAGCAAGGTCCCTAATAATGCCAAATCCTATGGAGTTTTATCAACTCTACTGTTTCTATCTGTGACTTAATACCACTGACCACTCGCTTCTCTATGACTTAACATTCTCTTGGCCCTCCTCCCCCTCCTTTGTTTTATTCATATTAGTTTTATTCATATTAGTTTTATTCATATTAGTTTTATTCATATCAGTTTTCATTCAAGGTTGGAAAACCCAGTACTCTGTCTTTGATCTCATGATTTCAACTATATTAACATATAGATAGTTTCAATAGATAGATTAGATAGATGATAGATAGAGATAGATAGATAGATAGATAGATAGATAGATATGTATTATTATCTACTGCAGGCTCTGAGACGTACATCATGACACCAGATCTCTCTCTCTCTCTCTCTCTCTCAGACTGCAGATCTATCTATCCATCCATCCACCTATTAGACATAATCACCTAGACATCCTTCTCATAGGCATGCCAAACTCAACATGTCCATGGAACTCATCCATCTCATTGCTCCCCAAGTATTAACTATCTATCATCTATCTCAGTAAATGTACAAGCTATACAGTCATCTCAAAGCCCATTCAATTTATCACCAGATTCTCCT